TTGACCATCTGATTGGCTGGCTCAAAGCAGGCATTAGTGATCTCAGAAACGCTCAGTTGCTCATGGTATGCTTTCTCTGCAGAGATGACTGGTGCATAGGTGGCCAATGGGAAGTGGATACGTGGGTAGGGCACCAAGTTGGTCTGGAACTCAGTCAAGTCCACATTCAGGGCACCATCAAATCTCAAAGAGGCTGTGATGGAAGACACAATCTGTGCCATCAGGCGGTTCAAGTTGGTGTAGGTAGGTCTTTCRATGTCCAAGTTACGACGGCAGATGTCATAAATAGCTTCGTTRTCTACCATAAATGCACAGTCAGAGTGCTCTAAGGTGGTGTGRGTGGTCAGAATAGAGTTGTATGGTTCAACAACAGCTGTAGAGATCTGAGGAGCTGGRTAGAYWGCAAACTCAAGCTTRGACTTCTTGCCATAGTCAACAGACAGACGTTCCATAAGAAGAGAGGTRAAACCAGAACCAGTGCCACCACCAAAGGAGTGGAAAATCAGGAAACCTTGGAGACCAGTACACTGATCAGCCTGAAATGAGTAAGGTAAGTGTTTAGTTCCATCATTTRAACACAAAGGCATGCAAAATTAGTGCACAAGAAATTTTAGTAAAAAATTATCAGCATTAATGATACAAATCACACTTACAAGTTTTCTGATTCTGTCAAGAACAAGGTCAATAAGATCCTTGCCAACAGTGTAGTGACCACGGGCATAGTTGTTAGCTGCRTCCTCTTTACCAGTGATCAGCTGCTCAGGATGGAAAAGCTGTCGGTAGGTACCAGTTCTTACTTCATCTGTAAAGAAATCAAGCATTAGTTTTAGTGTTATGTATGCTTAAAATAGGTCACTGTTGCATTGTTCACATTAACTTTAATCGTTTTTTACAGTTAAGGTGTCAGTGATGTTTAAGGTAAGTGATGGCTATCTTAGTTACAATTATATAAATGAAATCCAAGAGTTAAAAATGTGCACACAATGCCTTGGTAATTTGATCCTAAATGGAATAATGGAAAAAATGATTTCGAAGGCAGCAAAACTTTGTAGTTGCCATAGTGCGGCTCTACGTGTCAAACTCCAACAAATTCATACCCAATGAACTGTACCGTGACTGAGCGTAAGCGAGAGTGATCAGCTTCCATGAATTCCATCAAGCTTCTTCCTGTAGATACAAGCATTGACACTTGAATGACATGTTGTGCTTTCTATCCCAGAAGAGAGTCTTTTGACAAAGTGGTTGTGTAAACCTTGTCTTTGTCAAGCTCTGGAGTTTCCACGGTCTAAAGCTGTCTATTCAAATGACTTTGGGACAAAGATTATGCGACCCACCGAAAGCCCTGTACCTTYGATCGAATCCTCCAGGGAACCAGAATGTACTGATAATGAAAGTCAAGATCGATGGTAACAAATAAAAAGGAGTACCATTCATAATTGATTATATTGATCATCTGAAAATAACCCAAGTGTTGAAGTACAAAAGACCTATTAAACTTAAGCTTAAAATTTAAGATTTTAAATTKAATGTAAGTTTTGTTTTTTAAATATATATATCCTGTTTGTGTAGCAGGTTAATGCAACTATAATATTTAAATCTATCTCTTACAGTTCAAAATAGATTACAAACTGTTGAGCATTAATGCCAAACCTCATGCTCACATAACAAAATATAAAGTGGGATAACTGTTTACAGTGGGACCAGCCACCCACTTAACATAACATATGTATTATAAAATAAATAAATAAATAATAAATAAATAATAAGCAAATAATAAATAAATAATAAACAAATAAATAAATGGGAATTA